TAGGAATATTATTTTTTTTAATCTGAAAAGATATACTTATAGTTTGCTCCCATAGAAATTTTATCAAAATCGGGTCAGTAGTTTAGTTTTTAAATGTAATTGGTTGTGTCACAGTTGATGACAGTTTTTTTTTTGGGACACAATCTTTCTTTATTAAGCATTCTTATTGCAACAAATTCCATATATGTCGTTTCATATACAAAGGACCAACTGTTATTGATATTGACATTTTCACGCACATTCATTTAGTTACTATGTAACAGACTAATAGAATCGACGCAATTATTTTTTATAGTTGTTGCCCTTTTACCTTTTACCTTCGAAGTTATTATGAAAATATTTTCTGACTTTAAAAGAGAGAGAATTATAAAGTCAAGTGTTCGTTTTGCTAATTCTAAACCTGTTTTAGTAGATTAATTTCCTATGTCGTATCTATCTTCACGCCAAGTTTCTTAAATTGTACTTTTCTTGCTTAGTTTATATTTTTGGAACAAAAGGATGAAATTTTGAATTTAAAATTGCAGAGTTGTTATTTGAGTAAATGGAGCGACGAACTCAAATGTGTTGCAGGAACTCATTAGATGCACATGACTCAGGATTATTTCTTATGGCCGGTTTTAGGAGAGGTATTGTATTCAGCAATGAAGTAAGTGATGGCTGTAAGGATGACGACGATGATGATTCGGGTAGAACAAACAATTAGTTACGTAGACAGTTTCAATTTCGTACACACCAAGATAAAGAAAACGTTGTTATACGAACTATTATTATGCTTTATCGTTTTTTTTAGTTCACGGCTCGGCGTTATTATTTTTTACTTCGGTTGCGGTTAAGCAAGCTCATTTTCCAGTAAAAGTTATATTACTTTTGCTAACACCTGCCAAGTTACTTCCAGACAGATGAGGGGGAACAAGTTTCCATAATATCGTGCGTGTTTACTGCATACACCTTTCGAACTTCGTCACCTTGTACGCCAATATTTTTTTCGTTATACATACGAACTTTGTTTTTCTGTTCTTTTTCAACAATCTTCAAAAACGAAGAAGGTTCTCAATTTGGTTTTATTTTTTCATGTTTTGATTTTATATTTGACTCAGAAAATTTTTCTTTTATCTGAAAGGATGTACTTTAAGATTTGTTTCATAGAAATGTTAACATTTTTTTTATACAACTTAGAATGGCAAACAAGCTGACAGCCCATCTGATGGAAAGTGGTAACCGTCGCCTATAGACATGAGCAGTACCATGGACATAACAGAGTATACTGTTTCGCCCGTGATACCCCCCATGCGTTGCCATTCCTGAGGACTCAGGTGTTATTCCTCTGTACCCTGTAAATTCACGCCATATCCCACCCTTCAAACCGAAAGACAGCCATGCAAACACAACTGCATTACGGTAGAAACACGAATGGTACAGAGGTACCCAAGCAATCGACTTTGTACAAAGTCTCCCTCTGTTAACAACATCAGTTCAGTAGATTAGTTTTAAATTAAGATAACTGCTTTTGCCACGATTGAAGTCGAGTTTATATATATATATATATATATATATATATATATATATATATATATATATATATATATAAAATTCTCGTTTACCAAACTTCTCCGAAACGGCTTTACCGTAGAACACAGTCTTAAATTATATTTTATTACTTATATATATATATATATATATATATATATATATATATATATATATATATATATATATATATATATTATATATATATATATATATATATATTTTCGTCCAGTAATATTTTAGTTTTAGTTTTTCGTATTCCAAGAACTAAATTATTTATAATGTTTGTGGGCTACAATTCTGTTGAATCTGCCAAAAAAATCGTTGTCTATTATTTACTCACCGTCTTCTACACAGAAGCGTATTGCAAAATTGTGGAGCGTGACCAACGTGTAGAATGGGCCGTATCAAATAGATGTTGTATAATCTAATATCTATCTTCGGACACACTCTTCCCTCCATAAAACGCTTGACTGGCCATATAATTTATGATCCTACGAATAACTCATCAAAGTACATTTTGAATCGTCAAAGTGATTTCAATCACTGCATTAGTTTATTAGTTTTATACATTACTTTAAATTTCTAGTTTTATTTTATTATGGTTTCTGTATTACTTTTTGCAAGATCCATTACTTGACTTTTACTTGCTATCTCTTTATTATTTATTTCAATCGCAATTACTTCTGTTAGAATTGATGATTTGAATATTTCTTTTAATGGTCTATTTGACTTTCTTAAATAATTCTCAATATTTATAATAAACTTAAAATTATTATAACACATTTGTGATTTATTAATCTTTGTCGGGTGCTCACGATACAGGTTCGCCTAGTGCGGGGCCCATTGTATCTTGTGTTCGTAACTTTGTGTTTTTTTGTCAAATAAAATAATAATAAAAATAAAAGTAAAATAAAATAAACTGAAATATTGGATTGACAACTTATAGGCCAAAAAGAAACTCCAAAACAGAAGGTCGTAAATGAAATAATACTCGTACAAATAACATTTCATATTTTTTTCTCATTACCTTATTGTTCTATATCTATTGGCTGGTTGAGTAACATTGTTGTACTTTCGAGAATGATTATAAAAAGTGGGAAAAATTTGAAACTTCGCTTCCATAGAACCAATCACTCATGACAATGAACAATACGTTATAAACTACGGCAGTAGCGTATTACTGTAGTGAACGTAAATATGTAATTTGCTACTGAATCTTACATAATATGAAACAAGTTTTGAAATATTTAATACTATAGTAAAGAATATTACAATATAGGGTAAAAGCTTTGGGATGTTACATAGTTGTATGACGCAAAATCATGTAGTTATTATTGAATACACACAGGATATGAATAAAGTCAAATTCTTTATAAAATTAAATTGTTTATTTTAAGAGATTTACATCAATGTTGAAGCACGAGTGTTGGTAGTTAAAAAAGTATTACTGCTATTAGGCAATAATATTACATAGTTATATTCTGTGGTAATACACAAACGTATTTATCGAAATCAATAATAACCAATTACAAAAACTTTAAGTGGTTTTTAAATGCAATTGTCCTTAATTTGGAAGCGAATTTTCTACATCAATACAACATGTAACTATATTCATTATAGTACTATCAAATATTATATTAGATGAATAATTTTAAGATAATGATAAAAAAATTAATTGATTTTACTTACATATTATTGGTTTACACTATACAATTAATTTCTAAATAACAAACTCAAACATTTAAAAGCTAGAAAGTAAAAAATAGCTTGTTAAAGACACTCGAATAATAAATGTCACAGCTGCAAATTGGTATCCATAACCGTAACGGACTAGTGGAACAAAATTTAACAATTACTGGCCATCAATTTAACAAAGTCTCCTTATGCAACTGGCCTAAACGTCGGAACTTATATAAGTGTTATATAATACAAACGGAGGTACAAAATTGTTTTTATCCGGCGTCAGTGGGTCAAATCTGGTTGAACCAGTTGTGATCCATTTGTTAGATAAAATTGGTGTATCAATTTTGAAAACTTTTAACAGTTTCTATTGAAATGGACATTTATTATAAATTAGATTTTAAATCAAAGTTCGTATAAATTGAAAAGTAATTATGCTTATGTTAGAGTCGTATCTTGGGTTAGAACATTATTAACCCATATAGGGTTTATTTGCAATACTTTATTATATAGTTAAAATTCTGCAGTTCTTTGACATTTGTATCCCAAAATGTTTGATAATTTATTTTATTAATGATTATAACGTTCATGATTCACTGTTCATCCCAAAAGTTGTCTTGTAAAGAATGCTACTAGCATTAAGTCCGCTTTTTGTACATAATTTTCATTTGGTCAATAAAGTTATTTAAAAAAAAATTAATGACTATGCTTGATGAATTTTAAATGAAGCTTAAATTAAGGGGTAATATTGTCTATGGTCTTACCAATATTTAACATCTTAATGAGTTGTTTGACCAAAATAATAAAGTAGATTGCTAATAAAATGTAAATGCGAACAAATTACTTCAGATTGGTCGAGAGAAATCCAAGCAGGTCAAGGTAAGGAAACTAACGAGGAGTTTCTACAACTAAACTGAATAGCACCGAGCACAATGGTCAGCAGGACGTATTTAACGACTTTAGTGCAATAAAATTTAAGGTCGGTTAAAGTATAGTTTAAACTAAAGAGAAATTTGCTTATAATATAGTGTTGATTGATAATTTACTAAATATGATCTGTATAGTGTTTTACGCTATAGATGTACAAGTTTTAATAGACCTGGGTATCTAGGTCTATTAAAACTTGTACATATTATTTTTACAGTTAATTGTAATGGTGAGATTGTAATAGAGTTACCATTTTTTTTTATTTCTTGTTGACAAAAAATATCTTTATTAATTATACATAAAATATGATAATAATAATATTATATAAGTCTGTTTTGCAATTGACAAATTCAGGCTAGACAAATATAACTGTATAATTAACAATATATTTTATAATATGTTAATTTTGTACAAACTGTGGTCTTTAATATAGCATAAAGTAAAATATTATTGCGTAGCCATTTATATTACCACTTATATCATGTCCGGCCATTATGTTTAGTAGTATGTCCTTCACATGTAATTTCTATTTTATGCCTGCTTGACGATTTTAGCGTCATCGAGTGTCAACGAAAGATCGTGCTGATCATAAATCTTGTATTCATTACACTTTTAACAAAATTTCCACGAATTGACACGATGAATTGCACCAACTATTCAAAAAGCGGTACGCACACCTATTAACCTATTTTCGAACCTATTCATCAAACTGTCTTTATTACTTTACAATCAGTTGCTTAGCAACATAATTATCGATATATCGATCAAGTGTTTGTATTATTTGTTGAATCAGCAGCTCTGTTGAAGGTGTCAATGGAATATCTCGTGCATGTGGCTAACGTAGCGATTTTTTTCCTTTGCAGACAAAAATGTAGATAGATCAAATAGCCACATTACTAAAGGTACGATGTCAATTGACCAGGCGTCTCCACTGGTGCCGATCAAGCCTCAAGTGGCACTCCAGAACAGTGCATTTATAAAGAACAGTCATAATCGCAGCAGTTTCTGTGGGGTGTCGCCCTCTGCTAATAGCAACGGAACGTTTAAAACCTTTGCCGTTAATCGCAAGAGCTGGAGTGGAAATATAACCCTCCCACTTCAACAATATGCTCCTGATGTCGACCAAGCTCCGCAGTTAGCGACATTTCGATCGGGCACTGGCACTTTCCCGAGAAACAGGGAGAGAAACAATAACAGTACCTCCAACGGAATATTAACACCTAACGGGAACTCGGTTCAGACGTTCAAAGGAAATGAAATAAGAAGGAGCGGATGCTCTAACGGCCGACGCTACGCCGAGATCGGAAACTGGAGTAAAAGGTAAGCGTATTCGACATTGTTTGTTTGTATAAATTTACTGTGCAATCATACTTGATTGCATTGATGAGTTCATTATACTCGTAATATTAGAATTTACTTTAATTACTTGTATTAATTAAATATATAACATGGTGAATATATTTTTAATTTTCGGGTTCATAGTAATTAGAACGTCATCAGTTTGAAGATTTTTATAATGTTACTTTTTTTATTTCAGCTATAACTAGAATTAAAACGAAATGTTCATAATTTAAAAAAAAAAAACAAAAATTGAAAAAAAAGAGTTAAAATAAAAAAAGGAATATTTTATTAACAGCAATGCGCAATAATTTGTACACAATTATTTAAACAGAACAAAAAGTCATTTATACATTGATATACAAAAGTAACTAAGTGTCGCTTGTTCTAACTCTCCGTGCCTTATTTACTTTCTTTTTTCGTCTCGAGTAATTCTGTAACAAGTTTTCCAATTTCATTCTCTCGTAGCTTTCATTTCCTCCGTTCGACGAGATCCGCTCCCTTAGTATTACTTTTATTAGCTCTAACCGTTTAGTAAACATTGGTTTAAAATCTAATTTATATGAAATTCATTTTGGAAGTAATGATCTTTGAATAAATATTCATTCAATATTTGCGAAGATCCCGATTTTGGTGTATGTAAATATTAAATTTGTTGTTGGAATTAGGTTTTTAGTATACTATACTTCATATTTCTTTAAATGTATATAACTTTATATGGGACTTATTGCTTAGATTTTGTACAGTTAACTAGTGGATAATACTAAGGTAAAATCTAAATATAATTATAGTTACTTTTAGAATAATTTAATCTTACTCTATTTATCATGTACCATTTTTAAATGATAAATACATTGTATAAATGGAAATGGTAATAAACCAGAAATAAATGTGGTGCTTTAGGCTGAATAGAGTACTTCTAAGTTCTGACTAAACATAAGTATTAATTCCTACTGTAATTGTATTCTCACATGATTCTATTTTATTGAAGCTTATATTAACTAAAATGAGGTCACCAATACCATAATATTAGTATACTATCAGTGGTATACTCAAAACATCTAGGTTTCAAATACTGGATAAAAATTCATTATTGTTCTTTTCTCCAGTGAGACCGCAATCAGGGCTTCATTCCCCAGCCCCAGAAAGATTGTTCTCAAATATATCATTAACACATAAGTAAATGTTTGCTACTTTTATCTAATCACATACTTCATTATCTTTTATTCGTGCCCTACTAACTTTGTCCATAATTCTCGCTGAGTCAATTTGGGGCAGCTAAGCTGAACGATAAGGCAAGGCTCAATAATCTAGTACTTGTTTTTATTAGGGGATGCTTTTATCGTTGTGATTCGCTGTCGCTTGTGATGTTATCGCCTCTATTTGGAGGTTCTCCCTTTAACGGCTATTTATCGCCCGAGTCTCCTTAGGTTGTCTTTAAGTTTGTGTACAAGGAAAATGTAAGCCGCTATGATCTTATACGATTATTTTTGTCTTTCACTTGAACGAAATTATTTTATTTCAATACAATTGTTTATATTTGTACGTGATAATGTACTTCTAACTTATAATAACTTATATCTTTTTTTAATCGATTTCAAAAAGAAGATTCCCAATTTAGACTTTTTTTATGTTTGTTACCTCATAACTCCGTCAGTTTTAAACCGATTTGGAAAATTCTTTTTTTATCTGAAAAGATATACTTACAGATTTATCTCAAAGAACTTTTATAAAAATCGGTTCAACAGTTTGGTCTTTAAGTCAAAATAACAATTTGGATTTGTTACAATTAAAGTCGGTATTTTGTGGGGCACAATTTTTTATTATTGAAACAATACATTATACTAAAGAGGAATAGCAGTATCAATACCTATGAGTTTTTGTTTTATTTTATTAAATTTTACACTATTCAAAATGATTTTACATAACTTTGTACAATCAATGGTATTATTATTATTTTCATTTATAAATTTAAATAAGGTAATATAATAATTAATGTACATATTTAATGAAAGTACATAATAGTAATTTTCTTGGTCAAGTGCATACATAATAAGTTAGCATAAGACTCACTCAATAAGCATTGTACATAATTCGTCAAGGTTTTGAGGTAATTGTTTGGACCATTGTTAAAATTATTATTCTGCAGCAGTTCATTCCACTGGCAAACTATTTAGAATTTTGACAATGTAGTAAGTTATAAGATCAGAAATAAATTGTTGAAATAAATTTCTTCTTAAGGTTAAAGGTTAAATTGTTACTTACTTGTTCTGTTTAATACATTAACTATTTAATCACATTCGACGTAAAAAAAGCTATGTACTCATATGACTCAATAATGATCAAAACTGTAATTCCATGCATTTTGCCTTTACAACGCTGGTATTATCTTCTTTTTATTTTTAATTTAACAGCATCCGTTTTATCAGAGATAAGTTTTATCAACGATTCTTCGAATACCTTTTATTTTAGAAAGGAAATAAGCTGTAAAGAATTTAATTCATTTCTACAATTAATAAAGACAAAACTAAAAGAACAATTGTCCAATTACAAGAACTTTATTCGGTGACAAGACATTGTCAATTGTTGATTCCTTGAATATATGTAGCACAAAACGTTATACAAGAACTTATATGAATGAAGTGTTGATATGTTATTAAAGAAAGTTTTGTTTATCGAAAGTACAGAATTGTAGCATTCATAGTGATAGTACAGTAATAGATCCTGAAAATAAGATTCGATATTCGGTTTAGTCTATTTCTGAATTGCAACTTTTATAGTCGATTCTGATTGATGGTTTGTGTGCCTTTAAATTGATTGCCTGATTTTTCGTTTTACCTTCATTATTTGAAGGATTTTCTAATGTGGAAGGTCCTATGATTGTCGAGATTGAGGGTATTTATAAATGCGAAAGTGTGTTTGTTTATTTGTTACCTTATACTGTTGGAGTTTTAATACTGGCTGTTGACACTGAGGTTTTTTTAAAATAATGTATTATATTTAAGTTTGTTCTATGTCAGATTTTTATAAGACATGTCTCGTATTTTTTCACTAAGCTTATTATTTTATATCACAAATACATATATGTTTTATTACTGCATCCTGCTATTTACAACATATACACGTACTATATGGGGTGGAGAATGACATATAAATTATATATTTTGTTCCGGTCAATAAACATATCCAGGTTAGGCAAACGAAGTCGCGGGTAAAAGCTAGTATTGAATAGAAAAAAAAGTACTTACTTGTATCAAGTAGGTATAGTTTTACCAGTACAGAAATTTGCTGCATACAGAGAAATATTTTACTGCATTATAATAAAATTTGATATCTAACAAAATTTTGTTAAAAAAATACAATAGCGAGGGCGGACTACTTTCTGAAACCCAGAACTCCTAAAAAATCTTGGCAAAAATAGATTACATTATTAAATTTCTTTTAAAAAAACCTTGCATATTTTGCTTATATTGTTTTATTCCTTTATATGTTGTATAAGGCAAATAAAAATAATATAACTTATTCCAAATCTTCAGAATTGGATATAATCACACGAATATGATGACAGTTTAATACATCCGTAAATGGCAGATCCTGGACCATAATTGGAATTAGAGTAATAAGCCGTTGAAGATTCTTACAACATTACGTCATTTATTCGTTTGGGCTCAGCGTTAACCGTCAAGCTAGCTTTTTTAAATTGCTGTTGCTCAACAAATTTATGCCAGAGGTCCGGCCGAAGTATTTAGTCTAATTACCTACTCACTGGCTATTTAGGCGTTGGAATTGCTGCAAATGTTTCAACTTGACAATTTAAGGTAATTTGAACTTTAAAGATCAGCAATTCATTATTCCTTATTGCGGCTACAGTCTATTTTCTGCTAATTGATTTATTTTTTGTAATAAGACTATGAGAAGTGCTTTAGTGTACTTAAGATAGTCTTTAATTTCGGTCTTTATTCGTCCTAGTAAGTATATATCATTAACATTTGTATCTTCTGTGACTATCGTCACAGCAGATTTTTCAAGAGTTTAGCTACTGTTTATGTATGTACGCGTATAATAGGACATTTTGTAATCTTACTATGATTATCGTTTCTGACAATTGTTTCGACTTCATCTGGAAGTCTTCTTGGGCGTAAGTTGCTTTATGTCACATTGTCTCGTCTCGCACTAGTTTGGTTGTTGTCGGAGATGAACTTTTCGATACTACAGCATAACCTTCAAGAAAAGAACATATTCTTTTTTAAAAGGCCGCAGTATATCTGCAATGCCGTTGGTGTTGTGGGTGATCATGGGCGGCGGTAGTAACTTACCATCAGGTGAGCCGCATGCTCGTTTGCCCCCTGTGTTGTAAAAAAAAATGGCTAAGTTTATGTTTCCTAGGCGGTTTCGGCTGTATCGGACCCGTAGATAAAGAATGAGTTCAACACAAACTTTGCATTTGAATATATCATTGCAAATTTACATTTATAATTAAACAAAATAATAAAATATACACTTCTGAAATGTTTATTAATAAAATCTATAGTGAAGCCTTTGAATGATTGAAATTATGCAATTTTTACAGAATTTCTTTTGTAATTTTATCATTAATTTCGTGTATCGTTAAACTCCAAAATTTCGAACCGATTTCATGGTAGGCAGGCAATACACGATACCAACAGACGATTGATAGAGCGAGTGAAAGCCAGCAGCCGGCGCCTCGAGCTGTGTGTATAGATTACTGAATCCAGTTATGTACAGCGAATTACGTTATGCATATGATTTCCTTTGGTTAGTGCACATTATCGCGTCTGGTGTAATAACCGAATCGAAAAGAAATATTGCTGTGTGTGTTTTAATGGAAATAGAAAATTGAAAAATATATTTTCATAACTATTGAATGAAGACCTTTACCAAATGTAGCCGTTATTAAAACTCTATTCCAGACAGGCTCTTATCAATTATAATTTACTCTATACTTTCATTACTATCATCTT